GAGGGAAGCACGGTATTCAATGGACAGCTAGGACGCAACTAGACAATCTGGACTTCGCAGATGACCTGGTTCCTTCTATCACACACCACAACAAATGCAAGAGAAGACGATCGGTATAGCAGCAGCCTCAACAGTAGTAGTTCTGAACATACATAAAGGGAAAAGCAAGATTCTGCGATGCAGCACAACATGCGCCAACCAAATCACTCTTGATGGAGATGCCTTGGAGGACGTTAACACCTTTACATATCTTGGCAGCATCATTGATAAGCAGGATGGATCCGATCGGTAGAGCAAGGGCTGCATTTCTACGATTGAAAAATATCTGGAACTCAAAATAAATATCAATCAACACCAAAATTAAGATTTTCAATACAAATGTCAAGACAGTTCTACTGTATGGAGCGGAAGCCATCATCCAGAAGATGCTAGTATTCATTAACAGTTGTCTACGCAAAATACTTCGGATCCGTTCGCAAGATACTACCAGCAAAAACTTACCGTGGGAGAGAACAAACCCGATTTCAGCGGAGGTAGAAATCAGGAAGAAGCAGTGGAAGTGGATAGGGCAAACACTGCGAAAAGCACCCAACTACGTCACAATACAAGGTATCTGTTGGAACCCTTAAGGTAAAAGGAAAAGAGGAAGGCCAAGAAACACATTACACCGAGAAATAGAAAAAGACATGAGAGGAATGAACAAACATTGGACAGAAGTGGAGACGAAAGCCCAGGACAGAGTTGGTTGGAGAAAACTGGTGGGCGGTCTTTGCCCGATTGAGAGTATCAGGTGTAAGTAAGTAAGTAAGTAAGTAGGTAGTGCTGCTTTTAGTTGTTGTTTGATTGATATTGAATGTAATGACAACTTAATATGAGTTTTTGTAAGAAGAAAAATGATATTGAACAGGAAGATCCACACAACCTTACCCAATAATGATTATTAGTATTGTTTATCTGCTCTTCACTCCACAAAACCTGTTTTATTTTATCCACTACTAATCAGTTCTTCTGTGTAGTTATTAACTCATGTGATCATAACAGACATAGCATGATGTAGTTTAACAGCAACAACTTTCATAGGAATATTTTCGAGTCCCTATTAATTAAAACTTCAAAATAAGAACATACACCAATCAACACTTAGTATGAATTGAATTCCCACTCCAACCTTCAGCATTTATATGTGACAATTAACTCGCTTTCAGTTAAACAAGTTCATATGCAAATAGACAGTATCTCATTGTTATCATTATGATTAACTCATTTGCCAGTTTCAGATACGTGTAATTGGCTCTGAACTACACCCTAAGTTTAAGAGCTAGTGACATTACCTCGTTGCATAAACCAAAGCGGTTGAAGCGAGGTTTGAATGTGCAACTTAGTAGCTGAAAGCTGTGTCTTGGCTACTGTAAATCGATCTTCCCAAGCTCACACTAAAAATACTTAATTATTGTTTTCAGTAGTGAATCCGTAGCCGATTCCAAACTATTTTTATAATAACTAATTTATTATAAACATTAAACACTACTAGTCATCATATTCTTCAACAATCCAATATTAACAAATTATTTCTGTCAATTTTTATTTATTCCTATGAACTACTGATGCATCAAAATGTAGATCAAAACCAGTTCGTTGTATATTTGTTAGTCTAATACTATCAATGATGTAATATATATATATATAATATATATATATAAATCATTAGCATTATGCAGTGGATTTAAACTTTCATTCTTTTATCTAAATTTGGAAGGGGTGAGTAATTACTGCAAATGGAAATCAGTTACTCATAGTTTAAAGAGGTCTCTATGAGTACGCTAAAGTTTTTAGTTTAATCCCGTACATATATGAGTATTCTCGCTATTAAGAGCACTGGTTCAGTGGCTGATGCAGTTGGCTTTTAGCTGTTAAGCTGCAGGTTTGAACTTCACTGAATAGTTGGGTAGTAGTATCATAAGTTCTTGCATATTTAGAGCGCTGCTCGAAGTTAAGTACATAAATTCTTATCTGGTAAACGATATACATATACCATAATCACTCTTAATAACCAAAAGGTGTATGAGGCAAACCAATTTGCACTAACAATCTTGTCTACTTTATGATATTGATAATTATTTTTTGAAGGTGAAGGGACTACATTAAGATCTGTAAATCATTCAAAAGATTTCATTATATTTTTTTGCTATCACCTTCTGTATCTCTCATGTACAATATTAGACACTTGCACATATAGATAACGGACGATGACCATGTTTTTCTTATCTCATTATCTGTATTCTTCCAACAAATTACTCATTTCTATCTCGTGCTCGCATACTCAATTTGTATGAATGGCTAACAAATCAATTAGGTAGGTAGTTTTACGTGGAACGACGGATTTTCCACTTTCTTCAAAACAAGGAGAGAAATTTTAATTCATTCTTGATTATTGCCATTACTGCTATTATCGTTATTATTAGTACACCGCTTCACCAGTCATATGGTATAACAGCGTGTTAACTTTGTGGAAATAAGTTTTGTCTGTCTATTCATTTAGTTATAGTTATTGTTACATTAGTGCGTATTGAAGCGATACTTACTTGTTCGCTCCCATTGTCACTCATTCTCATCTTCTCTGTGTAGTTCTCGACACTAGCTGTCATGGTTGCGTTTGACTGTTAAATTATTATTATTATTTATTATTATTATTATTATTATTATTATTATTATTATTATTATTATTATTATTATTATTATTATTATTATTATTATTATTATTAACACAAACTCACTCTAGACACCATCAAATTTAATTCATCATTGTAAGTGATTTAGAGGACATAATAATTCAGCTAATCTTTATTTTTTTTTACAAAATGAATTTAAACATACCAACACACAAATACAACACAATATGTATTGTATGTATGTATGTATGTCTGACGAGAAAATCCAGTTTTGTTTTTTGTATTTTTTTTTTTACTTTTTTTTATTTTAAACATGCATACACATTATCATATTAAGCATAGTCCAGGAATATATGTATTTGTTAAGTGCATGTAAATACGTGTACACAACCATCATACGAGATGTGCATATTTGGCCTACGCACACACACACACACACACAAACAGACATCATCATGTACAATAATGCAAGTCTTTCAAAATTGACAATAAAGATAAGTAAAATGAATGACTCGTTTATTTGCACCCCAATAATTTTTCTCTATCCTTCTGTTACTTACAATCTCTCTTACTTTAATATGACTTACTCTAATATAAATATTCATATGGCAGCTTTTTTTTTGGTTAAAATAGTAAAAAAAAATAGTAAATGTTGTATGGTGTACGCAGAAAAACAGTCAGTATTAGTCATAAGTCACATAACCCCTAAAAATTTATATAAGAATCCAATCAAAATCCTGCTCTTCCTTTTCACCCCTTACACATTAGATTTGTTTGTTTTTTCTCAAAGCGAGGATCACATATAGTCAGTAATATGTGTACCCTAAAAAAAAATTAATATTAAAGAGAATACACTGGGTTGTTGTTGTTGTTGTTGTTGTTGAAGTCACTGCCCCAAGGACTAGACGCATATATCTCTCTACTTATTTTAGGTGAGTGAGTGAGTGAGTGAGTGAATGAATGAATGAATGAATGAATGAATGAATGGATGAATAAGAGAGACGCATCATGCAATGAGATGTCACAACAACAATTATTATCATTATTACTAACTAACTAACTAACTAACTAGCTAGATTATAGGGACCACGATATGAATAATAAGAATAATATTAGTAATTGTTGTAATAAAACGAACAACACAACACAACACACCACCATACAGCAAATAACAATACACATATTGATAATAATCATCATAATAATCATACACTATACCTACAACTTCTATTCGTTAGTCACATACTTTTTTTTGTATGGGCACATAATACCCATTGTGTCTAGTGTATGAAAAATAAAAAACTAAAGGATCTGGAGTGTAGTTTACGTATACAGACAAAGTCAGTCATACATATTCGTATCACAACTACCTACTACTACCTACTATTAATACTGTTACTATTGGTATTCTCTGATTTTTTTTCTGCTCTGATGATCAAAGTTCACTTTCTATTTGTGAGATCATACATAATCGAGTTATGAATGATAATTAGCATAAAACAGTGGATGATCACATTGTACACTGGTAATAAACACATCATTAGTGTTTGAAACTTCAAGGAAATCAACATCCACAACAACAATAAGTGGAGCTTAATTCTTCAAAACAAACAAATTTAAAAAAAAATATCAATCAACTTATCCATCACTATCCTCATCATCATTTAGTCGTAATTTTAGTGGAGGAACACCATCAACAGTCTATTGATTGATCTCATGTCTAATCCAAATGGTGGACTTGCTTTAGCCTCGGCCTTAGCTGGTATCTTGGGATTACCATTTCTACCATCAATACTACCGTCAACATCACTGAATTCCACCACATTATCAACAACCGCAACAGCAACAGCAACAGCAATGGATACAACATCATCTTCTATATTAGATACATCAACGTCGGATATTACAACTTTTCTAAATCAACATCAACAAACAAAATCAATGTTACCGTTATGGCTTTCATCGAATTATCAAAATAATCATGAACTTGTTGACATAATGACTGACAATTTTATTACAAATGATAATAATGTGTGTTGTGAAAATCCTAATGGTCAATTAGCTGATACACTTGGTTTAACTGGTGTAAATATGAATTTGTCAACTATGAAGACAATGCATTCAATCAATTCATTGTATAATAATATGAATAATACTGTCATCACTAATTGTATTCCTACTACTACCACTAGTACTAGCACTGCTGCTAATACTACTACTACTACTTGTAGTACTCCTACTGCTAGTAATAATAATAATAATAGTAATGATAATAATAATAATAATAATCATTTGTTGAATAATTTTTCATTTATTTTGCCTTCTCAACAGACATGCTCTGATGTATCTTCGGATACAGGGTCTGTACAATCACCATTTACACCAGGACAACAAATAACTCCATCATCCACATCAACTCATTATTTAACTGCTGCTTCAAATGCAATCGATTCCATTCATTCAATTGGTAATCATAATCATAATAAATTCAATGTAACCATGTCATCGTCGATCACAGCAATCACAATGACAACACCAACTTCTTCATCACACTCACAACAGACAAATGTTGATTTACTAATCAATAATAATAATAATAATAATAATCTATTGAATTCCATTGAACGTGATCGTAAACAACGTGAATTTATACCGGATTCTAAAAAAGATGACAAATATTGGGAACGTCGACGTAAGAACAATGAAGCAGCTAAACGATCACGTGAAAAACGTCGACAAAATGATATTCTCATGGAATGTCGTATTAATCAATTACAAGTGCAAAATCAAAAATTACACCATGAATTGCTAGAATTGAAATTACGTTTCGGTGTACCATTAACTAATGAAGATAAAAGATTCATGGAAAATCAATCCACATCGGATGATACACAAAATGATGTCTATAATGGACATGATGATCGTCATAATCATAATAATAGTGATAGTGAATTGAAATTATCCGAAATTGATTGTTGTATGATGTCGACAACAAAGTCAAGAAATGATTCATTATCAATGGATGATTCACAAAATGAAATGTTATTAAAAAGTGATCCATTCTTATCAGTATCACCAACACCACCTTCATTGTTACCACAATCACCTGCAATAACAACAATGATACTGACAACGGCAACAGCAACAGCAACCACAACAACCACAACAACACCGTGTACAACAGAAACCATTGTGCCAATGTCAACGTCTTCCATTGATCCATTAATAAATTATATGATAATGACAACAACATCTTCGTCATCATCACCTACATTGTTACCATCATCAAATAGAATAGATGGTGAACAACAAATGAATGTTGAATTGACAACAACAAGCACCATAACAACAACGGCTACAACAGCAACAACAGCGACAACAGTTCTATCTGGTAATCATAATCATTCATCTTCGAATAATATTTTATTTCCTCAATTAAATTCATTGGATAACACTGATTTATTGACACTGAAGCGTATATTTTCTAGTTTAGGCGCTGGATGCTTATCAACACCACCACCTACTTCACCAGGAACAGTAAATCACTCTTCATCAGCTTCCCCGTTAATTGCAGCAGCGGCAGCTGCAGCAGCTGTTGCTGTGGTTGCTACTAATGGTGGTTGCACAATGCCTTTATCACCTATTCCGGGAAACAATAACAATGGTGTATATACAACTTCCACAACAGTACCTTTTAATAATATATCATCATTAAATACAACAGCTGCATTATTGCTTCGACAAGCTGGTTTAATGCCAGCAGTTACTCCTTCACCACTGCCACCACTGCAGTCCACTCTTCCACTACCTCAATTTCATCAAACAAATAATAGTGGATTGCTTGACGATATTTCAATTATGAAAAGCAATAATAAAAATGACAAGTTTTCATTATCATCGTCATCTTCATCCTCAGTTATACCACTGGCAGTGGATGCTGCTTTTCCTGTAGGTAGTGGAGGCGGTGGTCGCTGTTCATCAGTACATTCAGTGAAATCAGATGTCTCTGCTAATTCAAATGATTATTTTGAGTCTCCATTAGATCTTAGTTTATGTTTACAAATGAAATCTGAAAGTCACAATTCTGGTAAGTTATTTTTATTGAATTACCTATTGAACCAGTTTAGAAGTCTTTTTTAATGGCTAATATATATATATATATATATATATATATATATATATATATATATATATATATATATATATAATATCCTACTATTTAAGATTTTTCCATCGTAAATGAACTGTTAGATAATTGTTTTTCCTGCCAACATATAAATATGATCCAAGGTCTAATTATTCGCAACTACACAACTAATTCTACGATAGCTGCCCCACTAGCGATGACACCTTCTCTAAGGTATTGCCAAATTCTAGTGAGAAATTGTGATTGGTACAGTCCAGACACGTTAGACATGATGTAGTTTTCATCTGAAAGAATTGAATGATCGTTTCGCTAAATCGCGATTAAATTTCTAATTATACTATTGGACATTAACCAAGTGGTTCGAAGTTGAACATTCACCGTAAAAAGTGAGAGTTTTGTGTTGGATCCGTAGTAACTTCGTTATCACACGCTGTGTTCGAGTTTCACGATAGGACAAAAAACACTGCTCGACACTTCCTGATCTTCAACTGTAACAAGTATGGCCTGTAAATTAATTCAATCTTCATAAACACTGTAAAATAATTAAGTTGAAATTGTTTATTATAAAGCAGTCTATCTAGGTGCATTTTGTGGTGTAAGGAGTTGACTGTATTGTACAGTCCACCATGATTAATGTGGAACCAAGTCAAAATGTATATTGGCCGACATTCCCGAACTCTACTGCACTGAGAGATAAATTTACAATGATGAATGGTAAAGAAAAATGAAACAATGATTATAACATTGTCTGAATAGTAAGAACAATGATACATTGAGAACATAGTTTGTTAAAACAAAATAAACAAACAGTGGATTTGTCGGATAAAAGTGTGAAAAAAATATACAAATTCATTACAGCCGACTATTTTGCTAGTAAATATTACAGCTTGAACCTCGACTAGGCGGTTTGCTACCCCATCTCACCTCACGATAAGACAGACCTAATAGACAATTGCTTCATGGCCTTATGTTACTATTAGTTTACATACAATCTAACTTTATTTCAACTAATTTTGTAACGTGAGTAGCATGTAAATAGTAACATTTATGATTGGATACAAGTTTTAACTGTTGTTATGTTGAACTTATAGTGAAACATGAATTTAAAGGCATTTAGTCTGGTCTTGATACAACTTCAATCAGAAGTGTTTCTTTTTCATGGTTACACATTAGATTTTTATTCTCATCCTGTTTAAAGTTCTCCAAGTAGTCATTATCTATAATTCAGGATCATAAGGTGGTGACGGCTTGAAGTTGATCGTTACAGATCAGATTTATCCTATTGTTTTTGAAAAACTTGTAGAATTCTAACTTTTGAGGATTATATCCTACTTTCCTTTGATCGATGGTATCCATTTCTTCTTGAACTATAATGTCTGTAGTTAGTTTCTTTTCAGCACACTGTGTATTACTATCTTTTATTCGGTTTATAAAAAGTTAAGTCTGCTTTTGGAAAAATAAGTTTAGGGTTCAAACTACTTTTCGGTTAATTGATTCAAACCGGCAGTCGGTGATTACTAACCTTTCCATAAACATTAAAGTGCTCATAGATAGATAGATACCTGTAATTGGTATGTAAACAAGTTACATTTTGATTTCTCTGATTTTCATGTTATGGAACACAGTGCATTCCTGATATCTGACCGATCTTTTTAAAGGATTCAGTTAATTTCATATGATATGGTATTTCTTGCTACAATGTTAACAGGTATTCGCTTGCCAAATTGTATTGGCGTTGATTGGATTCATGAATGATCTAAACCTATCATTATTAAGTGAGGATTTGATGTGTCCTGTTGTTAACATTTATGACTGTATTCTTAGTAGTTTTTGTTTTTACATCAACATTAGAATGTGGCAATTACATTTAGTTGTTAGGTATTAAATAGGATGAAATACATGTTTTGCATTTCACTACTAGCGATGATCTAGTCATTTAGCACAAACTGATACATCGGTTGCCATCATCCTATGTTGTTGAACTATTTCCAGGGAAAACAAAAAAAAAAGGCATTGAATATGTATTATGTGCATTTATTTGCTCTTAACTCACAAAACAACAAGTGTATACATTGAATTTCCGAATGGGATTATCAATATCGATTGTCTTTTGTAGTGGTTTCCTACAGTTGAAAAGTGACAAACAATTCATTTTTCTTTATCATCATCATCATCATCATCATCAATTTCAAAACAAAAAAAGAAAAAAAAAATGCATAATGAGATAATGTTATGTCGAGGAAATATGAAAAACTAGATAATATTCAGACTAGAAATACAAATAATCATTCATAAACTTGAGGAAAACATAATTAATTATTTAAATATTTTACTTTTCACAACTTCAAATTTCATATAAGTTTAAAGTTCTAATGATTAACTCATTACTCTGTAACTGATAGTATACTAAGTGTGCTACTGAGCTGATCAATAGTTTATTGACTAAAATACTGAAACTTCCATCTTCAGTTCACAGACTCGAACTTTTTTCACAGACAGCAGACACAAAGGGTGTGTGACTGTAAATCGATTATATGCATAAACAATACCTAATAACAGTATTCAGAAGTTCCAATCTCTTTTCTCTGCACTATATTCTTCTGAAGGGAAAGAATACGTGTCTGTGAATTCGTCGCAGTACACCTGTTTTGTCTGGTATTTTTTCCATTTATTTGGCAGTTGAATATTGAATGTAAGCGTATAATCTCCACTGAGAATTTCATTTTAAACCCTAACATTCAATTTATTTGCTTCTTTTTCATCTGATATTTTGGGATCGATTACAATGCCGTGTTGATAGAAGGATATGTAGGTAGATTTAGATGACTGAACTGAAACCAATCCTTAGTGCAGATCATGCTGTGTAGTGTATGCACCATTCACTTATTAAATGAATAGAAACATGTTTGAAAATGTTAGATATTGCACTTTTATTAAACATTTGACAAAAAAGAAAGAAGACTGACTATCCTTTTCTTAATCTCGTGTTTAACACATTGAATATTCATAAAAGTAATTGGGTAATAATCACTAAGATCAATCATTGAAAAATGTCTTACACAATTCCCTATTTCTGTTATATTCTCTTTGAATATTGATCATCTGTTTAAAAATAAAGATGATTTACATGAGTACATATCACTCTTAATTTCTAATATGTTGCTATTCCATATATATATATTTAAAATTGTTTGGCCAACATGACTTCAATAGACAAGACAAGGAAAGAAGGGTCAACATGTAGTAACATAATATATATTATCAACCATAATTATACAACAATAGAAATAATCTGACATCATGTACAGTGTATCTAGGGTTATTTGTAGTATATGATAAAAAAAAAGTTTTCTTTTGTGTTTTCACTGAAAATTATTCAGTAAATGAGGTCAAATGATCAACTATTTATGTGAATGAGAATTATTTATTTCTATTTTTAGCGTAAAACCAACAGATAATAAGTGACACCTAGAGTAATAATTTAGTTACAAGAAAAAAGGTGTGTTCAGTTGATGTAACTTGAATGTATCAAAATATACTATCGATACGTAGTGAAAACAATTGTTGATTGAACTTGAAGTGATAATTTTTAAATATCATATCATTCTCTTAGTAAACAAACTAAGACTTCCTCAAGTAATTATTTGCTGTGTATATTAAAAATTGATGTTTATTTTACTTCAAACAGTGATTCTTCAATCAAAAAAAGTCATTTTGACTAGTTAAGATGTAGATCTTGTTGGTAGGTGATTGAACATGAAATAGCGCTGAATGTAGTTGTTTTGTCTCATTCTAAAAACTATTAAGTGTGTATACTAACTCACCTTATCCACCACCCAACCCCTAGGAATTTCAATTCACAGTGTGCGCATATGTTGTATGAGGTCCTGAGTGTACATCAGTCAGGAGTTTCAAACTAGAAATCACGTATTTAAATAAACGAAATAATCAATTCATTAAATCTTCTTACCTTCATTGAACTATCAACGGAGCTGATTGGGACAAATATTACGTATGTTCAACCACCACCTACCTCGATGGGTGATGTTGTCTGGTGAATGAGTTAGTCTGGAGGAACGCTAGATACAGTCAAACCAAGCTACATCATCAGCTCATAACATGATTGACAATTGGTCTGATTCGTGTAAGTAGGTATAGATCACCGAATTGAAGTCAAAGCTAATGATTATTGACAAGGCTCAGAATCGGTCGCGATAACGTGCATGGATTCATTCTTTGTCCTCCCTTGGATCCTGAATCCCGTAGTCTCCCAAACCTCCTCCTTTATCTGAGCTTGAGACTGGCGGTAACCTCAGAACGGCTCCAGGCAGAATTAAGTAGAATGAATAATGACTTAATATGAATGAAGTAGTAGTGTCTGTCTTTTATAGTTGAAATAGGTAATCAGTCGTTTGCATTTCTAGTGACATTAAATATGAGAATATCAATTTAACAAGAAATATTTAATTGTAAAAGCTGTTCAACTTGTCGTTAGACGAGTTGATTTTCAATCGGTGAACTTCATTTAAGAATCCCACTTCGGTTAAAGCAACTACGTAAAATCATTACGTCTCATTTAGTGATTCCTACTTCAAAGGAACTTGAGACGATATTCCCGAAGCCGCGGAAACAGTGGTGCTATCTGCTAGTAAGGTAAACCATAAGGTTAGAGAGAAGCCGTGGATCTCAGTAGCATCTACCGAACTGATATATACTCGAAAACTCATCCCGCCTGGCTCTGAACATGACGAAGGGCGAAGTCAGCTTAGGCACAGGCTGATAAAAAGCCTACGCAACGATCACGAATAGTAGTGGGTACAGAAAGCAAAACCGATTGAAAACGCAGCAGCGATATATAAAATTCGACAACTGTTCCGACTTACCAAGGAACTGGTACTAGGAATCCATCTATTAGCAAAACTGTCTCAGAAAAGAATGTT